TGTTTTGTGGTTAAATGAGGAAGTGTTGTGCAGATAATTCCTCATTTCAAACTTCATGAATCAGCTGTTTCTCACCCACTGTGGAGTTTTCAAAGTGAGCCACAGGAATTAAAAGAAACAGGGCGTCTGACAAAAGTTCAGCTCTAAAGGCAGCGCTGTGTTGCTCTCTGTCAGTTACAACATTAAAGTCAGGGGTGCAGCAGCAAAGTCTGGGCTCTGTGCATCAACAGTGTCTGTGGACTCCCTGCCCTGTATCTCTTGATCCATGTCTCGCATGCAAAGTTTTATTTCAAAGTCAATTCGCTGTCTTACCTTCTTCTCTTTTTTAGAACCCTGATTTCCCTTTCTTGAGACAGACTTGCCAGTGTGTGTTGGTGCTCAGGCTGCATAAGCTGTCACTCACTCGGCTCTAGCTGTGTTTAGAGGCAGTTAGAGATGGTTTAGTCTATTCCTGCTCCTTACATGTCATTCAATGCAACATTTGATGCAATGGTAAAAAAGGTGGATAAATGTTAAATCTGGAAACCCTATTTGAAACTGAAATAAAATCAATCCCTGGGGATGATCTACGCTTAAGTGATAAACACAAGAATCCCGTAACATCTGAATTCACAGAGACCACACAGCATTAAAAACTCCCAATAATTAACTTGAAGTCAGATGATACAAAGTTTCCTTTACTCAACAGACCATGAAAGAAATAAAACACACTTATACAGATCAATTAACACAAATAATACGAATACACAGAAACAACACATAATTCCTCCTTCGAACTGTATGGAACAAATAGAAATGTATGTTACTGTTAAACATGTTTGTCTTGTGTTAAACCTCCATCTGCAATTTGTGCCATGGGTACACTGCTGGAGTTTGATGGACCTGAACGGCTGAACCTCGGACGCGCTTGTTGGAGCAGCTGTCTGAGCTGAGCAGGAATTTCTTCATTACCATGGAGGTAAACCAGAGGGTTGAGAGCACTGTTCAGACATGCAAGGCCACGACTTATCTGATGAGCGATGTAGACGCCATTGGACCATTCAGGGCAAAGACCTTGACTTGTCAAAAGTCTTGCCATAAGGTTGAAATTCTTGAATGCATGATAGGGGATGTAACAAACAGAGAAGAGAAGAATC